TCTTTCTTTCTCTCTCTCTCTCTCCACTTACAATACACACACAACCGGTAGCTCTCTGTTCAGACGGCTAGAGTTTGAGTGAGCACCGCACTGCCATCTTCCGCTGAACAGAGCATGCTCCGATTGTAAACAGAATATGCTCAGATTGTGCACGTATATTAGCTACCGTTCTGCCATGATTTGGGTGCATTGTCTTTGGGGAAAGCAGTAGCCATCATGCTAGCAATATGACTCATTGAGTGGAGTTGTAGAGTCAGTTTATGGCAGACCAGTTTCACAGACTAGTTGGCGTTCTTGTCAACAGTTTGGACATCCTTGCAGACTGTCTGTCGATGTTCAACCTCCTGATAAGTGGGTGAAAGCCCGGTGAAACATGGCAAAGTCAATGTTAGTCATGCTTTTTTTTGTGGAGTAACATACACAAACACACGCACAGTGACACACTGTTGTGGGGAAAATTTAAAACACACACACACACACACACACACACACACACACACACATATACACACACACACACATATGGTTGTGTGAAAAACTTAAAACACACACACACACACACTGACCATGCGTCCTATTCTTTAGTCCTATCCTGCGAAGACGACCATAGGTAGCATGTCTAGGCTAGCACAGATTCGTGTGACTATGCCCTCAGCTTCAACAGAGTGAAGCAAAATCCTAATATGATTGTGTCATGACATTCAGCACAGCATAGATGACATTGGGGTTGGAGGGGTGACTGCAACCACCTGCAGAAATTGGCAGGAAATGCGCTTGAGCTTCAGCAAAGCAACATAGCCCCATTCCCCCACAACTGAACATAGCTGACGCATTCGAACTCGCGTCTGAATTCAACAGCAGACTTGAACTCAAGTCTTTATTTCAACAATTCATTTGCCCGTAGTTATGGCCAGACTCCATGAATCTGACTGCATGTGCTTGAGCTTCAGCAAAGCAGAATCCTGGTGTGAGCGTGACCTGAGATTCAGCATAGAGAAACTCACTTTGGGGGGACAATGAAACACATCCGGCACGTTCAAACTCCGGACTGTATTTGTCCGAGGAAGTGTATTCAACAATAGGCTCAAACTCAAGTCTGCATTTTAACAATTCGTGTATGCACTCTTCTAAATGTATGTGACCATGGTTATGGCCGGACTCCACAGATCCGGCTGCAATGGCCTATGAAAATTTGGAGGAAAGGTCCATTTAGTAGTATTTGACAACATAAAACAAATGACTACAAAACATAAATACATTCACAATCAGGCTGGTTTCTCATACTTGCTATGTCTCACGGACTCCTAGTTGCAGCAAAGCAAAGCAAAGCAAATCCTACAAAATTTTGGAACTCTAGCCTCTTCTTCTCAATTTGAGTCTGGCAGTCGTGAAGACGCCCTGCTTCAGAAACAACCCTGGGCTCATGATAAAGATTGAACCAGAGAGCAATTCAGGAAGCCTTCAAGGTGGGCAGCAGCGCTTGCGGAAGCAGTAGGAGAGTTTGCAATAGTCGTGGGACTGCTGCCAACTCTACCAAGGGCATGACGTGCTATTTATGTGCATGGTACTAGGCTAGCTTGCTTGATTTTGTAATATAGTCTTGGCCGCTAGTCGTTACTCTAGATTTTATTTCCCGCCTTACACTCTGTTCTTTACCTACTCCTGTCTGTCCTTCATTTTTCTATCTTGAAAGCTCTGTACTCGGCCACAGTCTCCGTTTCCATTCATCCATTCTCTTTTGTCCCGCAATCTCTGCTCATGGTCGCACTTGTGCCTACGTTCACCCACGATCCTATCTGTCTTGAATACAGAAACAGGGGGGTGGTGTACACGCCGGTGCTGCCCCGTAAACTGTAGGCAGAGAGGAAGAAGAGGACAACAAACGAGGGACTATGATAAACTGTTTCGTCGGAATTTCACCAACTCATCCGGAGGCTGAACCATATGGTTCATTCATGTGAGCTACAGCTGCTGCATACTTTGTTTTCAGTTTTAGAACATTAGCCGCTGAGCCAATCTATTTACAGTACCCAGTGGGAAAGTTTTTGCGCCAGACGCAAGGGTGGTCGAAAACTTGACTGAAAAAAACAGTAACTGTGAGGTCAGCATTAAACCACCACTACCGGTCAGGCCGCCTGGGCAGTCAAGGTGGCCCATAAGGCCCAGTTGGTAACCCAGCTAGATCCATGATTCTATAAAACTTACTTCAGAGATCACATACGCCCACTGGCACAAAGCGAGCTAAAAACCGGGGCATTCCCGGAAACAGCCGTGAATCAAAAATGGGAAAATAAATCGCAAGCCTCACAATTGAAATCGGTTAAACACCAAAAAAATTGATTTCATCTCTGCACTTATCCATATCAGGGCAGAAAAATGCAGAAAAACGCCATATCAGAACGCACGCACTAGCATACTCCATATGTTTTGTAGTAGGAATTTAGAGAGATTGGTTGTTCGT